TCTTGTTGCCGACCGGAACCGGAAGGTTCAACTGATTTAACTTCCAACTCATCCACTGCTGAGAGGAAGATTGAGTCGGGGTAGTTTGTTTTTAACAATGGTTCACTCAATGGTCTTTTTTGGCTTGGTATATTTGCTGCTAGCTCTGGGCCTACATTCACAAAATATTAATTCATTCTATTAACTACTTTTATTATCATAAATATCACTTTGATTATCAGTAAAGTATTCAGGGTATAGTATTTTCTTTGTCCCACTATTCCTTAATTTGTTTAGTATATCCCAGACACCTTTTAAGTTATTTTATCTTCATTTAGGATTTTTCTGTAATATATCTTTTTACTAGTTTTTATTATTTCAGTTAATTTATTTTTGTAAACTTTATATCTGATTTCAGCAATTAAATCTTCTGTTCGTAATCTCTGATAGATCTCTTTCCCTGATTTCCTTTGACACCTACTTTCTTTAATACCATTGCTGATGTCAAAATATACAAATATCGGTAAGTGGTCACTAATATCAATTATTAGTATGCCACCTGCCATATTTTTTTCAACACAATTTGTAAAAATATCGTCAATCAAGGTTGCACATTGTGTCCTAATTCTCGTTGGTCTTGTGATCTTCGGGAACAGGGATAAGCTATACATCATGTCTAAGAAATCTTCAGTATGTTTATGCAGTTTTGACTTCATGAGATCAATGTTAAAGTCCCCACAGATGAAAATATCCTTTTGGCCATTTTTTGTGTACATTTTCTCTATACATGCTTTAAACTTATCCATATCTGATGGGGCTCTGTATATACAGCTAACTAGTATATTCACTCGATTTTCCATTATTATCTCAATTGTTAAACTTTCCATTACTTCGTCTAGTGTCATTATCATTTTTGGTAACATTTTACTTCTTAAATTTCTGTCAACATACAGAGCTACCCGTCCTCCTTTTTTACACTTTCTATTCTGAATGTACATCTCGTATCCATCTAAATCAAAATCTGAGTGTTTTTCATCATTGATTCGTGTCTCTGATATGGCTATAATCCTAAAAGGGGTTTTAAACTTATTTAGAAAAGCATTTATGCTCTCAAAGTTTGCATAGAGACTTCTACTATTAATGTGGATTATTGATAAAGATTGATCTGTCTTCATTTGTTCATTTAGCTGTAGTTCCCTATAATAAAAACACTGTTTACATGACTAAAGTAATTAATGTCAGGTCCTCTAAGTTTTTTTGTTTGTTGTAATAAGTCAGTTTTTGGCTTTCTGTTCATGAACCTGATAACAATAGCCTGTTTTGCATTTTTATCTTTCTTAGGCAGCACATGACAGGCAGAGATATCCTTACCATCGACATTAATATTTTTGGAGTGAAAAAAAATTAACACTTGGTTTTGAAGAGTATTTGATTCTTCAAGCATCTCACCAGTCTGGTTCTCAGCATTTGCTGTCACTCGAGCATATGATCGGTGCCTAGTGATAAGCCCACTCACAATAAAGCAAAGTAAATGATTCACGGAGGGAAACCCTTGTAATTCCCCCCAATCAGTGGTTATTGTTCAGAAAAGGATCAGCAATCAGGAAATACAGTGGTGTGAAAAACTACTTGCCCCCTTCCTGATTTCTTATTCCGTTGCATGTTTGTCACACAAAATGTTTCTGATCATCAAACACATTTAACCATTAGTCAAAGATAACACAAGTAAACACAAAATGCAGTTTTGAAATGATGTGTTTTATTATTTAGGGAGAGAACAAAATCCAAACCTACATTGCCCTGTGTGGAAAAAGTAATTGCCCCCTTGTTAAAAATAGCCCAACTGTGGTGTTTTACACCTGAGTTCAATTTCTGTAGCCACCCCCAAGCTTGATTACTGCCACACCTGTTTCAATCAATAAATCACTTAAATGTGAGCTGCCCGATGCAGAGAAGTAGACCAAAATCATCTCAAAAGCTAGACATCATGCCAAGATCCAAAGACATTCAAGAACAAATGAGAACAAAAGTTATTGATATCTATCAGTCTGGTAAAGGTTATTAAGCCATTTCTAAAGCTTTGGGACTGCAGTGAACCACAGTGAGAGCCATTATCCACAAATGGCAACAACATGGAACAGTGATGAACCTTCCCAGGAGTGGGCGGCCAACCAAAATTTCCCAAAGAGCGCAGAGACAACTCATCCGAGAGGTCACAAAGGACCCCAGGACAACCTCTAAAGAACTGCAGGCCTCACTTGCCTCAATTAAGGTCAGTGTTCACGACTCAACCATAAGAAAGAGACCGGGCAAAAATGGCCTGCATGGCAGTTTTCCAAGACGCAAACCACTGTTAAGCAAAAAGAACATTAGGGCTCGTCTCAATTTTGCTAAGAAACATCTCAATGATTGCCAAGACTTTTGGGGAAATACCTTGTGGACTGATGAGACAAAAGTTGAACTTTTTGGAAGGCAAATGTCCCGTTACATCTGGCGTAGAAGTAACACAGCATTTCAGACAAGGAACATCACACCAACAGTAAAATACGGTGGTGGTAGTGTGATGGTCTGGGGTTGTTTTGCTGCTTCAGGAACTGGAAGGCTTGCTGTGATAAATGGAACCATGAATTCTACTGTCTACCAAAACATCCTGAAGGAGAATGTCCGGCCATCTGTTCGTCAACTAAAGCTGAAGCGATCTTGGATGCTGCAGCAGGACAATGACCCAAAACACACCAGCAAATCCACCTCTGAATGGCTGAAGAACAATAAAATGAAGACTATGGAGTGGCCTAGTCAAGTCCTGACCTGAATCCTATTGAGATGCTATGGCATGACCTTAAAAAGGCGGTTCATGCTAGAAAACCCTCAAATAAAGCAAAATTACAACAATTCTGCAAAGATGAGTGGGCCAAAATTCCTCCAGAGCGTTGTAAAAGACTCGTAGCAAGTTATTGCAAATGCTTGATTGCAGTTATTGCTGCTAAGGGAGGCCCAACCAGTTATTAGGTTCAGGGGGCTATTACTTTTTTCACACAGGTTTAGATTTTGTTCTCTCCCTAAATAATAAAAAAAAATCATCATTTCAAAACTGCATTTTGTGTTTACTTGTGTTATCTTTGACTAATGGTTAAATGTGTTTGATGATCAGAAACATTTTGTGTGACAAATATGCAAAAGAATAAGAAATCAGGAAGGGGCGAATAGTTTTTCACATCACTGTAACAGCACCAAACTGAGCAACGTTTCTCTGGAACAGCTACTTTATCTGTTTTGGTGCCTCTACAAACAAATGTCAAAGTCAGATTTATAAAAGCAATACTAAGATTTTTTAAATAATGCAACAACAATCAGTTTTACAACTCATTCTGAAACTGATTCAATCAGCTGAGTAATTTTTTAATAAAAAGTGGGGTCATAGTTTCTCCGCGCTTCAGGCGGACTCGTTGTTCCTGTTTGAATGCTTGGGGCAGAGTGGGTGGTGGTGTTTTCCTTTCTCTCCACTTTGAGCTTTCTTTTCTCCACCCAGCAGCTGCTGCTGCTCATTATTGCAGCGATGGACCAGCACCGGCTCCTTGTTGGGAGTTGTTTTATGAGACAAAAGTCGCTGCAGTATCTGTTTGTCAGACCGTTCCTGCCTGAAGTCATCCTCATAGATCTTGAGCTGTGATCATTTCAGAAAATGATGAATATTAAAGTCAACAAAAACTGCAAAATGTCTGTTAGGCCAAAAGGTTAACCACATTTACGGCTTAAAGATCCTTGAAGGAATGCATATCAATAGTTACTATTAATGCCAGCTTAAAACTAAGACCATTTAACAGGTGAGAAATGGTAAAGTTGTTTCATTAAACCACTGAATACAACATTATCTCCTACATCACCACAAGATCTAATTCATTGTAATAGCAATAGCTGATTATTTTAGCTCAGAATCTGTAAAAGTGAGTGAAATAAAGCCAAGTGTTTTGCCTTTACTAACACCAGTAGTGGACATTGTTAACTAGTCCTACCCCTAAGGTGAATTGCTCAGAATCCATGGTTGTTTATGGGACCAGTTTTTCTATACCCTACCATTGGTGTCAACAATGGTTGGCTCAGGCCCAGTAGCTGTAAACAAGTAAAAAAAAAGAAAATAATAAAACAATATAAAACACTACCTGTTCTTGTAGGAGTGCCACTTGTTGTCGCATTTCCTCCCTCTTCTTTCGGAGCTTCCGGTTCTCCTGGAGGGTGTGCTTGTGGTCGTTGTGCTCCGTCTTATATTCTGCTTTGTAAATCTCAGTCTGCTGACACAAGACATCACAGTGGCTCAGTAAAACCCTGTGATCTTTGGATTTCCATGAATGCCTGAGCAGCACAGAGAAACCACTTGGTGGTGCAGTCTACCTCTTAACCGAAGCTTCCTTTTGAACAGTGAAAGAAAATCTTTACCCAGCAACAGAAACTTGGCATCAGCTTGGTTGTCTTTTCCACAGATGTAGAACATGCTCTAGTTCTGTGCTGAAGACAGAAACCCACCTGACATCTAAGAGCCTCCAGCTGCTCTTTCAGGTCCTGTATTTCTGTCTGGGAGCTTCCTGTTGTCATCGGTTTGGTGCTGCTGTGTTTCATTTCCTTCCATCCCATCTCTCTTGTGCAAGAGGGTGCAGGAAAGGAGGATGGAGGGATGCACCCAGACATGTAGTTGCTGCTGGAACAGGGCCCGGGACCCTTTACACTAAAGCTTTCCTTCAGGGAAAGCATGAGAGGAGATGGAGAACAAACCACTAGTTGATAAGGTTAAACACACACACACACACACACACACACACACACACACACACACACACACACACACACACTTTGACAGGAAGAATACCTGTCTGACAGGCGTGGTGTCTCCTTCTGGATGGTGCCTTTTGCTCTCTAGTAATCTGATATATTCCTGCAACTCCTGGTTCTTCTTCAGCTCCGTCATCAGCGCCTGCTCATAATACTCCTTAGCACTCTACAAAACACCACACATTGTTGTGCTGTCTTTTAGATTTAATGAAATTACTTGGTTGTTGTGTCCAGGTATTTACCTGCTGATGTTCAACTTTGAGGAGCAGTCGGCCGTTCAGCTGTTTGATGGCACTGTTCTCTCGCTCCAGAGCCTCCAGCCTTTGCTGCAGACCCAACGTGGCACTGCGGTACACCTGGTCCCAGTCCTCATTCAACTCCATCAGCTATGAAACAACACCATCATCATCATCAACATATAATCCCTGCCTCAGCTGCAGTAATCAATAGTGTCATTCATTTCAATGTTAGTTCTGTCACGGCTGTCCTCACGAGAGTCAGGAAACTAAGGTGCTCCTCCAAATCTCTAAATGCGTTACAGTTTAAATCATTTAGGAGTATGTAATTAAAATTAGGTGGAAAAGGTTGAATGATTGGGAAAAATGTAAGCTATCACGATGTTTTCACAGCTTTGTAGCACTTCTCTCTCACATGACGCCCACATCCCTCCTCCGGTTTTCAGAGAGAACTAAATGTAATTACCAGCATCAGTAATAATATCTGGACCTACAGAGGTTCAGCTCTGATTCAGAGGGATGCTGTCATACCTAAGGACATGCAGTTAAAGAGATTTGTTTTTCTGCTTCGATTTCACCTCTAAAAACAATGTAGCTGACCAAAAACTCCATATATTTGTTTTGCAACCTGAATTTATTTTTAGCTTGCTTTGGGAATGCTAAACTCGCTTGTGCTTTGGGTTGGAGTTTTAAATCATCAGCACTTGAGAAAAAGGCAGAATGACGGTAAAACATATTAGTGGCTTAGTGGCACACATTTCCTCAAAACACATTTTCGTTTTTCATGAATTCCTGCTTGGACATCTGGGCTCCTTTGTTCTGCTTTTACAGCAGAACCTTCCATGATCAATTAGACAGAAAACTAAAATCAAGCTGTTGGTCTGTGTGACTTTTAAACTCATTACTGATTGTTTGGACTGTGGCCGGAGGGACCAGTGTTGCCTGTGTACGGAGGTGTCACCTCTGCCAGTGCACCCCAGGACAGCTGTGGCTATGGTGTAGCTTATCATCACCAGAGTGTGCATGGATGAGTGAGTGACTGTAAAGCGCACTGGAGTCCGCTAACTCAGAAAAGCGCTAGACAGACGTCATTTATCATTCATTTTATTTTACGTGTGTTAACATAAATAGGTCTATGCATGTTTTTGGTAGACTGACTACATTCATCATTTTCTTACAATAAGGTTTAATCATTTAAAGCACAACTCTGCCACCTCCTTAAATGTGAACTCTGTGTAGTATTTCCCAACTAAATGAGTAACAATGTAAATATTATGATTTCCAGTATTTAAAGTGGTAGAGAGTGGATTATCAACTCCAGTTTGAGGCAAAAGCAGAGTTCAGGTATCTTGGGGTTTTGCTCATGTTAGAAAGGAGGTGCTTGGACATCTAGGAAGGATTGAGGGGACACGTCAAGAGGAGTTTCCAGGGCTGACCAAGGATATTCTGAATAGATGAAGTGGCTGGGAAGAGGACAGTCTGAGCATCCTAATCCAGACCCGGATTAGCAGATGACATCAAGATCATTTCAGCAACGACCAGAAATATCATGATTTGACTTTGTTCTTGTTGTACCTCTTTGTTGACCTTTCGGAGCTCAGTGTTCTTGTTGAGGAGCAGCAGCTTCTCCTGGTCGGTGGAGGTGACTATCAAGCTCTCAGTGATCATAGTGACCTGCTCATCTGTGGACAGCAGTCTGTCCCCAACAGGGCTCATGCTATCTGTCCTGCTCTCACAATCACACACAAAGGAAATGGTGTTAATGTTACCCATCAATAAGTCAGGCTGACGAACATTAAGAGGAGGATTTTAATAAAAAAAATGCATGCACCGAAGAAAGTCAGGTGCTTTTGAACACCCACTCACACAGAAAGTTCTTAGAGGGAATCGAACAGCAGCTATTATGCACACCCACACATATGCATGGTCACATTATGCACTCAAGACACTTAGACACACATGCATGCACATTCCTCTGTAATTTTCTGCTTCCTGGCCAATCAAAGTTGGCTTTTACAAACTAGTTTCTCATGGAAACAACATAGGTGATGATCTCTAGAAAGTGTTGGAGAAAACTCAGGCAAAAGACGAATATTTGCATGAATTAATTAGTCAAACTAGCTTCAATTTTCTTCTCCGTAGCTCCACATGTCGTGTTGCCTGATTTACACAATAAATGCTGAGAGAGAGAGAGAGAGAGAGAGAGAGAGAGAGAGAGAGACAGAGACAGAGAGACAGAGAGACAGAGAGAGAGAGAGAGAGAGAGAGAGAGAGAGAGAGAGAGAGAGAGAGAGAGAGAGAGAGAGAGAGAGAGAGAGAGAGAATCTGTTCTTGGAGGAGCACACAACTCAGCATGAAAGCCCCTCTGGGCTTATTCACACACACACACACACACACACACACACACACACACACACACACACACACACACACACACACACACAGTTAGACAAGACAACTGTAACCACACAGAGCTCAGTATTATAGAGACACAGTCTGCGATCACCTCTTATCCCCCCAGGACAAAACTCCACAAATACATGCTTTCATCCATTTCTAGGCAGAATACCTCATCGTCTGAAAAACCTGTTACACAATTCAAGAGAGCAGGATTCTAACGTGAAGGCAAGACAGGTGTAACATTTAAAGGTACTAAATCAAACACGAACAACTCCCTCATGATTATTTTTGTTGCAGGTGAGTTTGGTTTTTTATAAACCGCAAACAAACGTGGGAGTTTATTCCTGCACATATGTGCCCTGAAAGGCCACTCTGAACAATCATAGCTACCCTTAGCAACAATGAACAGGTTGCAAGTATTTTTGTCACTGTTGCTTTATACATGGTGTTCCCTTTCATTTGGTCTGTCTCATATTTCCTCTTTTCTAAGTTTAGATAAATGAGACTAGGTACTACACTGAACAGAGAAAATAGGCTCTTTAGAAGATCTGGCTCATCCACCAATGACTAGGTTTAGTGGTGAAACAGATTAATAAGCTGATTAACATCAGACAGTGTGATGCACCGCTCTGTTAAATGACAAATACATGTTTTATAGTCCAGTGTTGATTTATTAGTAGTTCATCATTTTCAACACTTCTTAATAATTAGATTTAGAGTAATCAGCTCCTTGTTTAGAGTTATATAAGGATCTGTTCTGCCGACCACCAAAAACACTACTTACACAGTTCGGAAGAGGAACATATCAAGCTCTCACAACAATAACGAATTTCTGTCTATAGCAGTGGCATCCAAAGGGTGGCTCATGGGCCAGTTATGGCCATCTGAGTTATTTTGTGCAGCCCTAGACAAGTCAAGAACAGCAGATTGTTGTCCTTCAGGTGGATGTTAATGTGGACAAACTTTTTTTTTCCATTGTGATTTTTACAAATGTGAGGCCTACAGTTTAGATCAATAAAAAAAATCCAAAGTATTAGCTTTTTATCAAGGTTGGTTTTTACTTTTCCTGGTAAATTGGACCAAAAATCCTCACTGACTTTTACCAAAAATCTGACTTGTGAGTACCATTCAAATGACTTGACTAACTACAGCAGACATTACTGAATAATTAGTTAATAATCAGATCCTGTTTCTGCTACTTGTAATGTAGACTCAAATTTATTTTCAAGGATTAGGAATTGGAACACAACAAATCCAAGGAACATGATATTTTTGAAGAGAAATGTTGATAATCCTCTTTATGTCTCAAATCTACAAAGATTACTGATCATAGTAAGTAAGTAAAAGTTAAACTTTATTTGTATAGCACCTTTCAAGGTTAAAAACCACAAAACACTTCACATAAAAGATAATTAAAAAATATAACACAGTTAGGTACAAGAAAAAATAATCAAATAGAATTAATAAACAACATTTTCAATAAAACTGACATGATCTTAGTGATGGTGTGTATTTTCCCTGGCAATAGGGAGCAGTACATATCTAAATCATTGCAAGCCCGTGGTATTTTTGTATTCGAGCAAGACCTCACCAAAGGATGGCCATTAGGGTCAAAAACCCTGAGAGCACAACCTCCAGCAGAATGACAATCACATCAGGCAATGAGAAAAGAAGTGTAACACAATAATGTTTATGAATGGTTAAAGTTTTGTAACCCATTGTTACATTTCAGTAAATTTGTTTTGTCCTCACGGGCTCCCATAGAAGAAAACATGGTGAAGAAGGCCGGAACATGCAGCAGTGCCTGACCCGGGTTTAGGGGCCTCGGGTAGACCTTGGCTCCTCTGCTGTCCCATCACAGGGGAGGGGGAGGACCCAACCATACCTGGATGTCCCATGTCTTATATATTCTGGAAGTTGTGCAAATGCAGGGATGGGCGTAGATATTCTGCTGGGGTGGAGCTGGGTTGGGGCCCCCGGACTTCGTGAGGCTCTGCAATGCTGCTGCTTTGGGCCCTGGCAAGATGGGCTGGGGTCTCCATGCCCTTGGTGGTTTTTTGACAACAGAGGTGCCTATTGGGGCCAGTGGGGGAGCTGGCTCCCTGGAGGGCTAAGCCCAACCAGCCATTCCTCCCCATCCCCACATATTTTTCTCCTCCTGCTCCCTCACATCATCACACAAACATGCACATAGGACCTTGGGGGGTGGACAAGTCAGGGAGTGCGGGTATGGACCCCATTTCCGCACTCCTGTGGCAACCTGCCCCCCAATTTTATTTGCACCTTAAACACTTCCACCAACGACATTCCACGCAAACACACACTTAGGGCCTTGAGTTAGCACATTCAACGGCAGTTGGCAGGGAGATTTCTCAGCCTCATCCCGAGTGCCCGTGCCCACTTCCAATTTTAAACTGCACTTAGACACCGATGGCTGTGGGTGCAAGTGAGGTGGTGCTGTGGCATCAGCTGGCATAGGCCAGACAATGCACGCACTGCCCGCTCACCACAGCCATGGAATACACCTCATCAACACACAACATCATTATATTGGAGCAGGCAGAGGGAGACTAGGGGTCTTAGCACACCTCTGTTGTTGCTAGGCTTCCTGGGGCTGGAGGCTAGAAGGGAGATCTGGACGTCTGGTTGGGGTCTGGGGTGGTGGGTTGCTGTGCTCAGCATTGGGCGGGGGAGCCTGCTCATCAGCACCCCAGCAGAAAGGGTCAAACTCTGGTAACCGGTGATGGTTGTACCCCATGTGCAGCAGTACCGGGACCAGAGTGAATAGGGTGTGTATGGGGAGCATGAGTGGGTGTCCGGCGTGCATTTTTGTAAGTCTTTGGTTGTATGCGCATGTGTGAGCATGAGGGAGGGAGTGTGTGACTGTGTTTGTGTATGACTGTATATGTCAGGTGGGGCCTTTGACTCCTCCCCTCTCCTGGGACCTCCTTTGATGATATAGATCTTCGTCTCCCCTCCCCCTGCCACACCTGGTGTGGAGTGTGACGCCTTGGTCTGCCTGAGTGTTTGTGGACCCGGGTCAGGGGGTTTAAGATTTTTGGCGTCTGCCTGGTCTGGGTCCCTGGGCTCTGCTGGGTCCCCGGCTTGGGTGGTCGCCCCTGGGTCCCGGGTCACTGGGTCCCGGGTTGTTGGGTCCCGGGCTCGGCCGGCTAGTGGGTGGGAGGCTGCAAGCAGGCCTGTGGGCTTGCCGCTGATATCTCCCGGGACTCTGCCGGCTGCTGGTTGTGGCCCCCCGGGGCGATCCTCTGTGCCTCTTGAGGGGGGCGGGGGCCTTTCTGGTTGCGGTCTCCCTGGGGTTCCTGTGTTCTGGGGCAGCGCCTGGATCTCTGGGACTTGGAGCTCCCTCCGTCTTCTACACATCTTTGGGGGGCAGATCTGTGGTCCCTCACACTCTCTATTGGACGCTTTTATACAGAAACCTTACATCAACAAGCGCGTGTACACACACACAGGTGCTCTCAAAAGTATGGGCTTGGGCACGTTCAACACATGTCTTAAAGGCTGTCGTTGCCACTAAATGCACTATGATTTATTATCGTGTGATTGTTCAGTTAAACAATGTTGATTTTATATTACCTCATCAGGCTGACGCAGTGATAGCTTTCTCCTGTTGTATTGTTGTGTGTCCCTTTTTTTTCTCTAGTCTTTCTCTTTCTGCAGGTCTAAAAGCAGACTCTTGTTCATTATTGTTTATTTTTGTAGACCCCCCACCTTTTGTCTTTTCCTTTCTCTTTCACCTCTGACTCCGTGTCTGGTCAGAATTACAAAGCATTCAAAAACAATAACAATTAAAGCTGCAAGCAGCGTCGTTCGGCCCTCGCAGCGAAGCTGCTCGCCCTTCTTCCGCACCCCCTCCGCTCCATCCCCGACGCTCTCCAAACCCAGCTCCGCGCTTGTCCATCCTGGCCGGCAGCCGGGGGCACCAGGGCACGTCTGGCGGAACTGAAAGTCAACCACCCCGACACCAGAAACCGTGAACGGCCTCCCCGTCCACACCTCACCCTGACTCAGCATCCCCTCTTAGCCCACCATTACACGTCACACCACTAAGATATACTCTATCTTTACCACACTGGTGATGTGATGTTCAGTCTCGGGCAAATCGGAGGCTGTTTGTGGAAGTTAGAGTCAAACGTAAGGTCACAGCGTCACGCCAGAAATCGCCATGGCATCAAAGCTCCTCCCTTTCTGAAAAGCTATCAGATCTGAATAGTCAATACAACATCATGAAGACAGTGCATGACCTTAGTGTCATGTTGACTAAATTAGAGGGGACAAATATGGGCATTTCACCATAATATAGTA